ATCAGGGTGCAGGGATTACATGGAGTGCACAGTAGGGGGTCCAAATTAAGACTGACAAATAGAGAGGAGATGGGTGTCACCATCTGTCTCTAAGGGAGCAAATTAGGCTCTTTCTTTCATTTTAATGGTTTATTATTTCAATAACAAAGTGTAACATGACCCAAGCCTATTTTCCAGCCCCCCAGAACTGGCTGGGACAGTAAGCAGTGAATAGCGGCTGAGTCAGTGCCTGCTGCTTCATGTTAGTGCTGGGAAGGGTGTCACTCGATGGAAAAAGCTCTCTCATTGTTCTGTCTCTGAACCCATAAGGATTAGCATCTGATTTCTATGTGACAAGTGCAGGTGTGACCACTTCACATTACAAGCCCACAAAGACAGCATGTAAACCGATCCCCATTGTTAGTTCCATACTGTTAACCCTTTTTGCTTTCTCAGAGTTACCTATGTGTCACAATTTCCTCAAGAGCAAAATTCACTTTTTTCACACTTTGTGAATTCCTGCATGAAAGGGGAAGTAAGTTCAGTGAGAATGCTCTACAAATTGGAAACGCGATTCAACTGCAAGCTCTTGAACCCAGAGAATGCTTTTCCTCAGTATGTTTATCTTTGGAGAGAAAGGCTAAATACACCAGCAGGCATAGACTGCCGAGCGATGGCCACTAACAGACCAAGAGACAGTGTGCCAAGGAAAGGCTAATTACACCAACAGGCATAGATTGCTGAGCGATGGCCACTAACAGACCAAGAGGCAGTGTGCTCAATTACACCAACAGGCATAGACTGCCGAGCCATGGCCACTAACAGACCAAGAGGCAGTGTGCTCAATTACACCAACAGGCATAGACTGCCGAGCCATGGCCACTAACAGACCAAGAGACAGTGTGCTCAATTACACCAACAGGCATAGACTGCCGAGCCATGGCCACTAACAGACCAAGAGACAGTGTGCTCAATTACACCAACAGGCATAGACTGCCGAGCCATGGCCACTAACAGACCAAGAGACAGTGTGCTCAATTACACCAACAGGCATAGACTGCCGAGCCATGGCCACTAACAGACCAAGAGGCAGTGTGCTCAATTACACCAACAGGCATAGACTGCCGAGCCATGGCCACTAACAGACCAAGAGACAGTGTGCTCAATTACACCAACAGGCATAGACTGCCGAGCCATGGCCACTAACAGACCAAGAGGTAGTGTGCTCAATTACACCAACAGGCATAGACTGCCGAGCCATGGCCACTAACAGACCAAGAGACAGTGTGCTCAATTACACCAACAGGCATAGACTGCCGAGCCATGGCCACCAACAGACCAAGAGACAGTTTGCTCAATTACAACAACAGGCATAGACTGCCGAGCCATGGCCACTAACAGACCAAGAGACAGTGTGCTCAATTACACCAACAGGCATAGACTGCCGAGCCATGGCCACCAACAGACCAAGAGACAGTTTGCTCAATTACACCAACAGGCATAGACTGCCGAGCCATGGCCACTAACAGACCAAGAGACAGTGTGCTCAATTACACCAACAGGCATAGACTGACGAGCCATGGCCACTAACAGACCAAGAGACAGTGTGCCAAGGAAAGATTAATTATACCAACAGGCAGTGACTGCCGAGTGATGCCCACTAACAGACCAAGTGGCAGTGTGCCAAGGAAAGGCTAATTACACCAACTGGCGAATACTGCCAATCGATGTCCAATAACAGACCAAGAGACAGTGTGCCAGGGAAAGACTATTTACACCAACAGATGTGTGCCCGGTGTATCATGTTCAGGTGTGAGGAGGTTAAAGGGTGGGGAGTAGGGCACATGACATTAAGTGATTCACAGAATACCCATAATGTGCTTTTTATTCATTGTATGATTTGGTTACAGACTATCTTTGGCTGAATTATTTCTAAAGTGTCAGTATATTGTCCAATAGAAAAACATAGAATTCCCATTACGTTATATTTATTACGGGAACCTTTACTTCTAATAAATTCAGTATTTTCAGTGTTTCTTTCTCTGGCACTGCTTCTTCTCCCCAACTCCTCTCTGTTGGTGCCCCCCAAGGTTCAGTCCTTGGTTCCCTACTGTTCTCCATCTATACTGCCACTCTTGGTAAACTCATTAGCTCCTTTGGCTTCCAATATAATTTCTATGCAGATGACACGCAAATCTACCTGTCTTCTCATGATCTCTCCCCGTCCCTCTTGACTAGTGTCTCTGACTGCCTCTCTGCTGTTTCTAACTGGATGGCTGCCCACTTCCTAAAACTAAACTTGACCAAAACTGAAATTCTGGTCTTTCCTCCTCAAGTGTTGTTACTCCTCTGTCTGTCTCCCTCCAAGTCAACGGTGCTACCATCAGCTCCACCACGCAGGCTCGCTGCCTAGGTGTTCTCTTTGACTCCGACCTCTCCTTCAAGCCCCATGTTCAATCTATCGCCAAATCCTGTCATTTCCATCTAAAAAACATTGCGCGCATCCGCCCCTACTTAACGCCAGATGCGACTAAGGTGTTGGTCCATTCCACTGTTCTTTCTCGCCTTGACTACTGTAATCCGCTTCTCAGTGGTCTTACGTGCTCCCAACTAGCGCCGTTACAGTCCATAATGAATGCGGCGGCGAAGCTCACCTCCCATGCCTCACCCTTCTGTCAGTCCCTACATTGGCTTCCTATAAAATATAGAGCTCAATCTAAAATTCTGGTTCTTGCTTTCAAATCTCTACATAAAGCTGCTCCCACCTATCTATCCTCCCTTATACACAAGTATGCCCCGTCTAGGCCCTTACGATCTGCTGAAGACTTACGTCTATCTTCTGTCCGTACTCCCACCTCTGATGCTCACCTTCAAGATTTCTCGAAGGGCTGCACCGTTCCTGTGGAACTCGCTTCCCTCCTCCGTTAGATGCTCACCCAGTCTTCACTCCTTCAAAAAATCGTTAAAAACTCACTTCTTCACTTCTTCATTTCAATTAAACTGTTAATAGCTCCTGACTGATTCCTCTTCTGCAACTGTCACTAGTCTAATACTATCCTTACCTTTTTGTGTCATTTTACCCCACTCCCTCTAGCATGTAAGCTCATTGAGCAGGGCCCTCAACCCCTCTGTTACTGTGTCACTATACCCCACTCCCTCTAACATGTAAACTCACTGGGCAGGCCTCAATCCCTCTGTTACTGTGTCACTATACCCCACTCCCTCTAACATGTAAACTCACTGAGCAGGCCCTCAATCCCTCTGTTACTGTGTCACTATACCCCACTCCCTCTAACATGTAAACTCACTGAGCAGGGCCTCAATCCCTCTGTTACTGTCACTATACCCCACTCCCTCTAACATGTAAACTCACTGAGCAGGGCCCTCAATCCCTCTGTTACTGTGTCACTATACCCTCACTCCCTCTAACATGTAAACTCACTGAGCAGGGCCCTCAATCCCTCTGTTACTGTGTCACTATACCCCACTCCCTCTAACATGTAAACTCACTGAGCAGGGCCCTCCCTCTGTTACTGTGTCACTATACCCCACTCCCTCTAACATGTAAACTCACTGAGCAGGCCCTCAATCCCTCTGTTACTGTGTCACTATACCCCACTCCCTCTAACATGTAAACTCACTGAGCAGGCCCTAATCACTCTGTTACTGTCACTATACCCCCCCCTCTAACATGTAAACTCATTGAGCAGGCCTCAATCCCTCTGTTACTGTGTCACTATACCCCACTCCCTCTAACATGTAAACTCACTGAGCAGGGCAACTGTTACTGTCATATACCCCACTCCCTCTAACATGTAAACTCTGCAGGCCCTCAATCCCTCCCTTTGTCTCTGTTACTGTATACCCCACTCCCTCTAACATGTAACTCACTGAGCAGGGCCCTCAATCCCTCTGTTACTGTGTCACTATACCCCACTCCCTCTAACATGTAAACTCACTGAGCAGGGCCCTCAATCCCTCTGTTACTGTGTCACTATACCCCACTCCCTCTAACATGTAAACTCACTGAGCAGGCCCTCAATCCCTCTGTTACTGTGTCACTATACCCCACTCCCTCTAACATGTAAACTCACTGAGCAGGGCCCTCAATCCCTCTGTTACTGTGTCACTATACCCCACTCCCTCTAACATGTAAACTCACTGAGCAGGGCCCTCAATCCCTCTGTTACTGTGTCACTATACCCCACTCCCTCTAACATGTAAACTCACTGAGCAGGCCCTCAATCCCTCTGTTACTGTCACTATACCTCCTCCCTCTAACATGTAAACTCACTGAGCAGGACCCTCAATCCCTCTGTTACTGTGTCACTATACCCCACTCCCTCTAACATGTAAACTCACTGAGCAGGCCCTCAATCCCTCTGTTACTGTGTCACTATACCCCACTCCCTCTAACATGTAAATTCACTGAGCAGGCCCTCAATCCTCTGTTACTGTCACTATACCCCACTCCCTCTAACATGTAAACTCACTGAGCAGGCCCTCAATCCCTCTGTTACTGTGTCACTATACCCCACTCCCTCTAACATGTAAACTCACTGAGCAGGGCCCTCAATCCCTCTGTTACTGTGTCACTATACCCCACTCCCTCTAACATGTAAACTCACTGAGCAGGGCCTCAATCCCTCTGTTACTGTGTCACTATACCCCACTCCCTCTAACATGTAAACTCACTGAGCAGGCCCTCAAGCAGGGCCCTCAATCCCTCTGTTACTGTGTCACTATACCCCTCCCTCTAACATGTAAACTCACTGAGCAGGCCCTCAATCCCTCTGTTACTGTGTCACTATACCCCACTCCCTCTAACATGTAAACTCACTGAGCAGGGCCCTCAATCCCTCTGTTACTGTGTCACTATACCCCACTCCCTCTAACATGTAAACTCACTGAGCAGGGCCTCAATCCCTCTGTTACTGTGTCACTATACCCCACTCCCTCTAACATGTAAACTCACTGAGCAGGGCCCTCAATCCCTCTGTTACTGTGTCACTATACCCCACTCCCTCTAACATGTAAACTCACTGAGCAGGGCCTCAATCCCTCTGTTACTGTGTCACTATACCCCACTCCCTCTAACATGTAAACTCACTGAGCAGGCCCTCAATCCCTCTGTTACTGTGTCACTATACCCCACTCCCTCTAGCATGTAAACTCACTGAGCAGGGCCCTCAATCCCTCTGTTACTGTGTCACTATACCCCACTCCCTCTAACATGTAAACTCACTGAGCAGGCCCTCAATCCCTCTGTTACTGTCACTATACCCCACTCCCTCTAACATGTAAACTCACTGAGCAGGCCCTCAATCCCTCTGTTACTGTGTCACTATACCCCACTCCCTCTAGCATAAACTCACTGAGCAGGCCCTCAATCCCTCTGTTACTGTGTCACTATACCCCACTCCCTCTAACATGTAAACTCACTGAGCAGGGCCTCAATCCCTCTGTTACTGTCACTATACCCCACTCCCTCTAACATGTAAACTCACTGAGCAGGGCCCTCAATCCCTCTGTTACTGTCACTATACCCCACTCCCTCTAACATGTAAACTCACTGAGCAGGCCCTCAATCCCTCTGTTACTGTGTCACTATACCCCACTCCCTCTAACATGTAAACTCACTGAGCAGGCCCTCAATCCCTCTGTTACTGTCACTATACCCCACTCCCTCTAACATATAAACTCACTGAGCAGGTCCCTCAATACCTCTGTTACTGTGTCACTATACCCTACTCCCACTAACATGTAAACTCACTGAGCAGGGCCCTCAATCCCTCTGTTACTGTGTCACTATACCCCACTCCCTCTAACATGTAAACTCACTGAGCAGGACCTCAATCCCTCTGTTACTGTGTCACTATACCCCACTCCCTCTAACATGTAAACTCACTGAGCAGGCCCTCAATCCCTCTGTTACTGTCACTATACCCCACTCCCTCTAACATATAAACTCACTGAGCAGGTCCCTCAATACCTCTGTTCCTGTGCGTCCATTTGTCTGGTTACAATTACGTGTCTGTTAGTCCACCCATTGTACAGCGCTACAGAATTTTGCTGGCGCTATATAAATAAAAAAATAATAATAATAATGGGTTTGCTAGATTTCCAGTTTTTGTAGAAGGACTATAAGTAAGGTTGTGAAACCAACCATGCTTTCTGACACCCATCACTACCCCGAGGTCATGGCTGAGCATGAAAATTAAATAAATTAAAGGACAGCTAGCATCAAATTTCCCCTTCTTGTTTTCTTAAAAGTTTAATATATTTAATCTGACAATTATAGTTTTACATGATGTATATTGATTTATTTAAAATAATGTCACTTTCTTTATGTGGCTGTGTGGCCATGTTGGGTCAGACTGTACTGTCTATCTGACCAACTGCTGCTCAACCTAACTTACCTGCTGCTGTGATTGCTCTGTGTGAACCCACCGCAGTAGGAGAGTCATGTCAAGCAGCAGATGGTCAACAAGTCTAACCCAAGATGGCTCTGAAAGGGTGGTTCAAAAGCGACACTTTAAGCACCCAAACCATTGTCACCCTGTATTGGAAAATATAAAAACATGTCATTTTAGAGAAGCAACGACATTTCCATTTGCCACAAACCACACCTCAAACTAACTGATACTAGAAGCACATCCCATGGAGACCTTTAACCCCTTAAGGACACATGACATGTGTGACATGTCATGATTCCCTTTTATTCCAGAAGTTTGGTCCTTAAGGGGTTAAACATCAATGGTCTTTATGTTCAGTGCCACTGGGAATTATTAATGATCTCAGAAGAATCGTAATGGCTGCACCAAGGACACTGACAGGTGCTAGATTATCGTTGAGTTTAATTCAATATTTATTTATTTTTTGTTTCATCTACAGGGCTGAGACATCTAAAAGGGGAAAATAACACTAAATATGTTATACCAGATATATTATTGTTAACGTTAGAAATCTCTTTTAAGATGGAGTAATATTTGCTGACAATGTATCTTCTTGCAAGGTGCATAGCTTGTAATTGTACCTGGAGTGTTTTGTTAATAATTGAAACCAAGTACCAAGACACCCAGCAGTTCACACGTGTATTTATTATGTGAACACTTGAAACAAGCTCATTGTCCTACGTCAGCTCTGTTTACCTTACATTTGATTCTGTGATATGCAGAAAGGGCTTTGCCTATTTTCAAGCAAAATGCTGCAGTCCTTGCAGCTGTGAAAGGCTCAAACAGTGCTTTATTCTGTTGTCTTGCGTAGTTCAACTCTTTTATCTGCCTGGCATATTCCCTGGAGCTAAGAGCTTTCATGAGTATATCTTTTATCTTCCTCCCTAGTGTTTTCCAAAGCAAGAGGACTAACGTTTAGAGCACAGCCTCATCACTAATGCAAAACGCAATGTGATATTTACCAATACTTACTTACCTATGAACATATCACACTCAACATTTAACAGACGAAAAACAGTTTTTAAAATGTTTATTATTTTATTAGATGTAATATCTCACTGATGGTTATTTCTATGTCAGTAAATTGAGTACAACAAACATGAAGGTGTGTGATGGGAAGCTCAGGTTTATAATGTATAAAGATCTCTAAGGGTCTCTTTATACATTTGTATCTGTTTTGCTCTCTTGGGTATTTTTGTGGCGCTGTCTAGAGTAGAGATGACCAATAGGTTGCGAAAGCCTGCAGAACCATCTCAATACAGATGCTGGACTATGGGTGGTGATCAGAAAGACTATACACTTTTCGCATCCAGTAAGGAATCACTCTTTAGACACTCACTCACCCCAAATGTTTTTGAAACTAAATGCTGTGATTTAGGTATAGCTATGGGACTCTGAAGGTCCTTAGCCACATTTAGTTTCCTGAGGACAATGACATGTCTACTCTTTGAGGAGTTAGCATTGATGTATTTGTTATTAGACTTAAGCATTCATTTTCAAACTGTTTCTGGAATTCCAAATTGCTGTATGACCAAATCATGAAACAAACTAAATGAGGAGTGAACAAACCATTTTGTTTGTTTGTTTTCAGATTTCCATCCGTGGCTCTGAAAAAAACAAAACAAAAAAAAAATGATGTCAAGAGGACAGCCTCAAAATGGTTTTATTCACAGATCAAATGAGTGACCAGTAGACAAAAACAAAAACGAATCGAACCAAAGCTCCACATAGATGAAACCCCAAGAGCAAGAAACAAACAATCTTTGGACAATCCATTTGTTTTACTGTGTACATGTTTGTTATTCTTGTTTGTAATCAACTTCTGTCAAATTCACGCACTTCCCCTGTTAAAACACACGTACAACGTACAGCCCTTACAGATATGTGTGTGTGCACATGATCATGTGTGTCAATACGTATTTGTATAATACAAATGCATGTGTGCATATGTTAATGCACATGTATGTGTGTTATATGTGTGATGCATGTGAATGCTATGTTTAATGCTCGAGTGTGGTGAGTGTGTATGTGTTCTTTAGGCACACAATACTGCACGGAGGTTAAAGTTTAGTAAAGTGGCCTCATGCATAGGGTAATGCGTGCAGGACTTTAAACATGCAGCGGGGTAACAAGAAATTTAGCAGTTCTCACATTGACATCTCTGGTTACCTAAACAGGACATTAACCACTGGAAATGAAACATGACATATAAATATTGTGAACAATACTGTAGCAAAAAAACAAAATGGCTGCACCCATGTATTGAGGTCTGGCACAAGGAAGAAAATATAATAAATTTGAGAGGCAATGGGGAGAGTATCATAATTAAAGAGACACTTCCCTGGAAAAAGGCATTTAAATAAATATTTAGTAGATACACCCCCAATTAAACCATGCATACATTTAATTATGTATTTTATCATTGGTGTATATATAAAAGCAACTTGTAAAAGTTGAAGATATCTTGTCTGCAGCCTTTTCAAGCCAGCCCCTTCTAACACCGACCAGACTTTCTGTGGCTGTCCAATCAGTTCAATGAGAAGTCATTACAAGGCAGGTGCTCTGGGCAATTGCTGCCTCTTGAGTTTATCTCCACTGAGCTAAATAACCAGGAAGTAACAGGACCGGATGTCTGATTGATAGCCAGGGGGGTGTAACAAGGTTTTTTTTAGAATAGTTCCAGTTTCCATTGAAAGCTGAACCTTTTGTAAAATGTAAAAAAAAGAGGACACACTCTTAACACATAAAGCATTTCAGAAAGATAAAGTGCTTTGGGGTTTTGTAGTGTCGCATTAAAATACATTGACCAGGAGAGGAAAACTGAATGAAAATTAATACGTGCGCCACTTTAACATATCCAAACGCTAATGATTATTGTTTTTCAGTTTTGGGAAAACAGTGACTGCTTTTTTGATACCTAGTAATAAGTTACTAGTATTTAAATAATTGTTTTTACATCCTTTCTTATTTTCTGTTGACTTTCATTTAAAAGAACACTGTAGCATTAGAAATACATATTTGTTTTCCTAACGTTACAGTATTGATGCCCATGTCATTTAGTCCCCACCCTCCACATCCCACCCGTGCCATAAAATAAAACGTAAATGACTCTCATACCCAGGAGGCTTGGAGGGATGATTTAATGCTATTCTTCCAAGCTTTATTTAGTTTAATAAAGGGATAAGGTAGCCAACACAGAAGGCACTATAAAAACTTCAATATTTTTGAAGTAG